ACGCTAGAGTTGTTAAACTGAAAACAACTTGATATAATCAAAAGCGCGTCAAAAGTATATGTCGTGCTTGTTCAATAGATTTTAACGTAAACAAATAACAATGTATGATATGTTTTTGTATTGATGGATAATTATTTAAGCATAATTAAATGTGAAAATAATATTAATATTTTATGAAACCGAACGTTGCATTGAATGAAACCTGTATGAACGAATGATAGAGTGTCATTTTTTGTTTTTTATCTGTGAATGATATTTAATATAATACTAACGTTGGTATTAACTGGTCCTCGGGTAGTCTGCGTTTTGTAATAAGCACACGTTTTAGTGCTGGTATTAACTAGAATATTGTAACAAACCTGGACTTCTTACTCCTAAACTTAACCCAGTACTAAAACATTTTTTTGGAATAAGACTGTATATGTTTTGTATGGTGTGCAATAAAGAATATTAAATAAAAATCTGAAAACTAGAAATAAGCGATATTCGATGTCGAAAAAGTGTTGACAAGTATTGGTGCGGTTAGTTTCAAGTACAGGAGCTTACTGACCAATAATTTTGTCGATATTTAATTCATACACCTTAAAAAAAAAAAAAACAGCACTTAACATTGCAATTAACAACTTCATTGGTGCCGGCGGGGATCGAACCCGGGTTGCTCGCGTACTGTGAAATTTACAGCGAGTGCTAACTATCTGAGCTATCACGTGCTCGGCGGTGAAGGAAAACATCGTGAGAAAACCTGCATGTCTCAGAAATAAGAAAAAAAATATTTCGAAAACACGTGAAGTTCGCTAACACACATTAGAGCAGCGCGGCGGACATTTCCTTGCCCTATAACCCTCTCAGAAATGAGAGGAGGCCCTTGCCTAGCAGAGGGACGTATATTGGCTGTATAAAAAATAAATTAAAAAAGAAAACTTATTTCAATTAATGAAATGAAAATTTATTTATTTTTCCCACTATAAATAAAAGGATAAAACATAAATGGGAAAAGGTGACCAAATTGGCACCTATTCAGATCTCAAGTTATTTATCGATGATGCCGACCACGGAATATAAAAACAAATTTTATATTCCGAGACCGTGATGCCGACAACATCATACGCTGTTTTTACCGAACTCGGGCTCCCTTTATACGTCTATGTTTTTAGATATTTTTTTACACATAACCAGTGGTAACGTACAGCACCTCCAATTGCAACTAACAATTTGACAATTTCCTTAGTGCCTGCGGGAATAATAACCGGCCAAGTGCGAGTCGGACTCGCGTATGAAGGGTTCCATACCATCGTAATACACATTTCTAGTAGGGGAGAGTATTTGTTGCTATAGCAGCAACCGAAATACACATTCTATGAACATTTCAACTGTCTAGCTATTACGGATCATGAGATACAGCCCACTGACAGACAGACGGACGGACGGACGGACAGCGGAGGCTTAGTAATAGGGTCCTGTTGGTTACCCTTCGGGTGCGGAACTCCAGAAATCGAATTTCACACGCTCGTAATTAGGTACTTCTAAATTTAAGAAATTACCCATTCAAAATTAAATTTGGTATTACCTCAGTTTTCCACGGGCTTTTTGTTTTAAATTAATAGATGGAGTAATAACCTAGTAAAACAAGCAGTGATCAGATGGATAGTGAGTCAGGACGGTGTTTTGTTGGATATAATGATAATCATTGATGATATATTTTTATAATTAGGTATGATAATTTTAATAGACATATTTTTCGATCTGATGAAATTATTTTGTTGTTTTTACTTTAATTTTGGCAAATAATTCAAATTGTAAAAGAAAATAATCAATTTGATACACTCTACTCTCATTGTTCAGGAACTTGGTAGCTTTTCGTTATCCCTTTCGAAATGCGTAAGGGCGGCGGTGAGTCATCCCTCCTAATCTAATTTTATTAGATTTTCTGAAAACGTTTCGCCCCCGCATTACAGAATCAGCTACGAGTTACGAGTAAAAGAGCCTTATGACTCATAACAGTAAATTATGTCTACCGAATCAGAAACAAGATGAAAATTATTTGTATACTTAAGTAAATATAAACATCTACTTATACAAATAAATCATTGATAAACTCTACTATTAGCTCCCGAGTAAACATCGTCAGCTTTTTTTAGGTTCTGTTGCCAGCCTAGCTTTACAAGGTTTATCGCAGCGTTGGAAAAATGCTTGCTGCTCCTTCAAGCTACTCTCTGCGTTACAATGTTCTGCACAGGTCTGAGTTATTTACACGATTGATTTCTGTCTCACGGCACTCTCGCAGATTACTTGTCTCCTTCTCGCCTCATTTCAAACTACAAAGCAGCTCCTGCCACTTGTACCTTCTAACTGTAATACACCTTCGGTCTGAGCAGGGTAATGTTGCGTTACTGTCGTCGAGCCACAAACGAAAAAGACTATAGCAAAAATTACGCTATCGAAATTTCAGAAGTATTCCGAAAGAAGTAGCCGCTCGTCGGGCTGGATACCCTTGACCAGCGAGAGATCTCCCCTTTCTCTTCCACGGCCGAACTACTAAATCTATTTCCTTTTAAGCGTGATATTATCACCATCGAAACACCTGTTCCGTCGTTGGTTCTAATAGGTAGTTCATAATTCACATGCGCAGATATTTAATTAAACTTACATATCAAAATCTGCTTAAAGCCATTAATTCAACGATGATACGAGCAGCAATCTTTTGGCGGTCAAATTCGCGCCAAAACTCTCATATTATGTAATAATTTTTTCGAATGATTCGACTCAAGATGCGAGTAGACTAGAGAAATTGCGACTATCCTTGTGTATGTAAATGGATACATACCTACTATATTATGTAATAATATGTTTTTATTCTAGGTAGATGGATTATTCTATTCTATTCTATCTCTCATTCATTAGGCGCAGATTTAAAAAAAGTTTAAATTTGTACTGTGCACTGCGCATGCGCGGTTTCCGCATACGTCACTGTGGTAGACAATAGACAATAGACATGGGCAAAGTTTTTATTTTGTCATCAACGTGACTGTTGTATCTGTTACACAAAAAAGACTCAGTGAAAAATCATAGTGACTTTATCACAGATAATGCCGGATATTTGAAATGTTGGAACATCTTTTAGTAGTTAATAGTAATAGTAGTACAGTCCGTATGGATAAAGAATGGAATTAGAAATGGCGGTTCACCAATCCCGTACCGTCAACATGCACAGTGCCAATAGTGAAAATCCACTAATAACAGTATATCGTTATAACGTTACATTATTCGGTTAATTGCAAATTTACTATGAATTGGAAAATATTTCAAAATAATTGTATACGCAAGTAGGTACATAAATTTTAAAATAACATTTATAACTAGCGAGTCGCACTGGCTTTGCCTGGTTGGGATCTATTAATGTGGCTTTATTTAGAATTATATGTGGTAGAGCCATGCTGCAGCTAGTAGTATAGTTGTAGCACGAATGGGTCGGCTCGACCGGGGAAGGACCACACTCTCACAGCATACCAGCGTAAAATAGCAGCGTATCACTGCTGTGTTTCGTATTGTGAGTGTAGAGAACCGGAGACACTTTTTACTGGAAAAGAGGCATTCCATCTTCGTCCTCACGGGTGACAACGCATCTGCATTTTGATTCGCAAACGAGTATAAATGTAGATGTCTATGGGCCACAGCAACCACTTACCGTTAGGTGGAATGTGTGCTTATTTGTCACCCTATCCTATAAAAAAAATTAGGATAATCATTAAAGACCATTTATTTCATCTTACCAACATTTCTATTTTGATAAAATCTTTAAATTTTTCGGATATATAGTCTAGATCACTCCCTGGTATTACTCTCTATTTGTTTGTAAAGTATTATTACAATCGGTTCAGACATTCCGTAGATATTTTGTACAGACAATTTTAAAAATGATTACTTATGTCTCAATAGCATGTAAGTATTTTACAAAAATATTACATACATACATACATAAACACTCACGCCTGTCACCCAGAGGGGTAGGCAGAGATTATGGACTTCCATTTGGTACGATCCTGACACACCTCTCTCGCTTCTTCCACATCCATATACCTACGCATACACGCTCGTCGGTTAAAGGTACTCTTGATTTGGCCCATTTTTAATATATCGCCAATTTGGTCGATAAACTTTCGCCTAGGGCGACCCTTCCCGACTATGCCGTTCACCTCTGCAACATAGATTTGCTTTGTCACTCTTTCCTCATTCATTCTTTCTACATGGCCAAACCACCGAAGCATTCCTTTCTTAATCCTGGTCACAACATCATCTTGCAAACCACACTCTTCTCTTATTAAACAATTTCTCACTCTGTCATTCAGCTTCATCCCTAACATACTCCTTAATGACCGCATTTCTACAGCATTTATTCTACTCTCATGCTTCTTCTGCCACACCCAACTTTTACTACCATACATTAAAGTAGGTACTAACACAGCATTGTGAATTAATATTAACAATCAAAATCAACAAAATTTATGAAGAAAACTCTCAGAAGGCGTCTAGCTCACAAAATAGCGAAATTGGACAATTTTTTTTTGTAGTTTATGGCATTTTTTTATCATTGATTCAGTGACAATGACAAGTTAGACTGAAGTTATAGGACGTATGAAAAACCTATATTACATTGTATTTGTTTTGTACTATGTACAGGTGGATATGAGTGTAGATAGCGACAGTGTGCGAGCAAGAGGTAAATAGAGGCACTAGGTTTTAAAACCCATTCTCTAACAGCACAGATAGTATATTTCTTACTAAAAAGTCACCGATACTTTCTTAGGCGGCTTATACGGTGCCTTTTTCACCGTGAGACCATAACGTTTGTTTTTCACTCATATTCTCAGCTCATATCTACACTTTGACAACTTTGGCCATGTGATATTAAAACCACCAATAGCAGACTTTGGTTTAAAGTGTGATTTTAGTCTTAATACACATACACGTTGCTGTTTATCGTAGGTATTTTCTTTCCATTTGACGATTTGATTTGACGTTCACTCCGTGACTCTGTCGAAGTCTCGTAGTGTTAACTTTAGACGGCTCAACTCAACGAATTATTTGTTATAAAAATTGTGCAAAACTTTGTTAGTAGTTTCTAGTTTACTATTTGCAATTAACTTTAAAAGAACAGTGTTGTTTATAACGATATAATTAGTGTTAAAAGTTCATGAGTGCGTGCATGCTGTTTTCGCCGAGACCTTGATAACTAGTTTCTTGGACGAGCGAAGAGCCAGTTATTATAGGATCATGCCCGAGGAGGTACGTCTTTAGCTTACGTAGGGTTGCGTATATTAAAGACGACTGTGCGTGTACTATTTCCTAATTGCCCTACTAACAAGTGAGGTTTAGTGTTGAAAGTTCGTTACAGAGACAAACTGAAACTGTAAAGTGCGTTTTGGTCAGTGTTATAATGACGAAGTTAAAATAATTGTGCGCAACCGAAGGACGGCTGTGAGGTGTCCGCCAGCGAGACATTCATTTTATAGTGCGATGGACAACATCGGAGGTAAACATTGTGAAAAAATTGCATGCCTCTCATCTAATTTGTTGTTCGTTGGCTGACAATTGACACCCGCGCCTGGTACTTTGCACATAGTTAATTTTTTATTTAGCAGTCTAAATCAGTCTTTAAATGTCTTTTCATCAGCACATTTTTCGACGGTACTGTAAATATCAGCTTCCTTCATAGACTGTTACTCAGCTAGGTGAGTGTAGTTCTATAAATATCTTCAACACCGTCCAACGAAACTACTTTAGATGTTTAGTTATTTTCTGACATTTTTAACTTGTTGGTCGTAAAACTTTTCTTCTTTTACTTTTTTAACTTTATTCTAATTAGTTGTAAATAGTTATCATAGTTCTTTGCTTCTTTAGAATGTAAGGTTAAGTATAAGTAACATGTCATCTATTTATTTATTTTGTGCTCCATATTTATTGCTGCGGTATTGCCAGATTTAGCTTGCAGTCAATTTTAATTAGCCCTAAATGATCTAATATGTACTAAAAATCTCTTTCAATGCAGATATTAACAGGCTCTATGCATTACCTATATTGCTTAAAAATTATTTACTTTAGTACCAAGCTGTTATAACTGGGAACAAAGCATAATTATAATTTGAGTGATGACCTAAAGCCCTGTTGTATTTTGAAAATATTTTTTTTCTTTTATTTAAAAATCTTTAGGTTTATGGAATCTGCTTATTCTATTGTTTTAATGTAATTGCATTAAATCCTTTACCCTTTAGGGCTTCTGTATAGGGTGTATAGCATCTGATATGGGTCTTAACAATGTAGAAGAAATGAAATCTCTTTCAGTCACAGTACTTAACTTTGGAATTTGTATCCTGCAGCAACTTTTCCTAGACTTTATATATTTCTTTTATAAAATTTATTATTTTATGTGCATTAAATGATAGTTATTTTATATGTTAAACTTTAGACTTACCTTTTTTACTGGAAACGAGGCATTCCATTTTAGTGCTCAGGGACGACAATGTATCTGCATCTATGAGCCACAGCATCCACTTGCCATCAGGTAGACTGTTTGCTTGTCACCATTATCTTATAAAAAAAATTCATCATTAACATTACAGCTCATTTATTACAAGTCTTCATCGGATACTAGATATAGGTGGTTTAAGACCATACTATGGTCTTAAACCACCTATATCTAGTAACTTTCTTCATCACTTGCCAGATTGTTATCTAGCTGGCGGCCTACTAAATAGTCCACTACTTAACATAGGCCTCATAGGGAGGAGTATTTGGCATAGTTGCCACACATGGCAGGTGGATTGACAATCACAGTTGTTCTTTATTACTTTGATTTTTTGATTTGTTGTTATCAGTTTCAGTTTCCCTCTTTTGCCTCTACAACACCTATTGGACAATATAGGGTAGAGGATATTCTTACACTGTCACTATATGGTTAATTTCATCTAAATTGTTACATTAAAAATTAAACTTCTGGTGTCAGTATTAAGATATATCGTATTGAAGGATAAAAACCCCAACTTTAGAAGCTATATTAAAATGAATAAAATAATGTGGAAATTATTTTATTTCTTTTAGTTTTTTCTTTTATAGAGAGGGTGATAAAAAAGCACACAGTCCACCTGATGGTAAGTGGTTGCTGTGGCCCGTAGACATCTGCATCTATCCTCGATTACAAAACAAAATGCAGATGCGTTTTCCACCCCTAAGGACTGGAATGCCTTGTTTCCGGTTAAGAGGGTCTGGTTCTCTACACTCACCATACGAAACACAAAAGCGTTAAGCTCCTATTTTATGTTGATATTCTGTGAGAGCGTGGTCCTTCCCCGGTCGAGCCGACCCATTCGTGTTACAACTATACTATGTAGCTGCAGCATGGCTCTACCATGTAAAATTTATTAGGTTGTCTTTACTTTTTATTAAATGTTAAATTATTTTACTCTTGAGAAAATAACTAGAATGTGATTTAAATAGTTACCATTAAAGCCTTTATCAACTATTTTCCACCTTTAGGGATAGAATATTTTCTTTAATTTTATATTCAACTGACTCTGAAGTTAAAACTTTTTTAACAAAACTCATTTATACGATTGAGATTTATTATTTCTTAGTCAATTCATATTTAAATTAAAGCCTTTTTGAGCATACAGATATGTACTCCTTCCCATATATCCCCTATGAATAGAAGGGCAGCGTCATCAGCATGAGCAACAAGGGTCCAAATTGGACCGTCCAATTCATCAATTTTGACTAGTATATACTACCTTATGGTAAACCATGAGAAACCGGAGGACATCACTTATCCAATTTTGATGATGGGAAGAAAGGTTTTCGAGAAGAAAAAAATTCTCAATCGTATAAATCAGTTTAGCCCATAGATCATAAAAACATTTTTATTATCGGAGGTTCATCAGTTTTTTCTACACAATAAGGCACTCCACAACTTCAGTTGCCAAGCATGGCAAGTATGGCAGAATACCTTCCATCTGTGTGGGAGGTCTATGTTCAGCAGTATAGAATTACAAGATAATAAGAATATAGATTGCAAGAATACTTATTGAAAATCATTTTATGCTTTTAATATTGGTTCAGAAAAAAAACCTCTGTCCTGGAAAGAACCAGCAAGAAACCTAGAGCAACTTTTTTACAATATAAGAAAACATTTAGAAACTGCATACAAGTGATCAACTTATTCACAGGGGTTATTATTAATCATGTACTATTTAGTAGTATCTTTCTCTATCTATTCATTCATCCATTACAGCCTATAAAAGTTCACGGCTGTACATAGGCCATAGAACATAGACTGCCTCATAGGGAGTATTTTGCTATAGTTCACACACCTGGTGTGCAGGTTGTCAACCGCAGTTTTTTATTATTTTGAGTTGATATCAGGAAGATGCTGCTGCCCATCACCTGATTCAATTTCCTTCTGTCGCCTCTTACGACACCCACGGAACGATATTGGGTAGTGGATATTCTTACACTGCAACTACATGGCATTTCTCTCTATGGTCATATTAACTAATAACCCTTATTAAACAGTTTCTTCTTGATAAAAATTTTAAACTTTTTCATAGGTCTGGTATATTTTCTTGGACTTTCAAACTGCATAACTTAAATTTTCGTAAATATGGTGACTAGCCAAAGTAAATTTATTTATTTCTTTAATTTTTTTTTCTAAGAGACTCCTTCGAACTTAGGTTATAAATTATTTTATATGGCCCTTTTCTACAAAACAAATGTAGTTTCATTGTCAGTTGCATTACCCTATAGCAAAATTCCATATAACATTATGCTATGGAACTAAAATAAACTAATTTAGCTGTTTCAACAAATGTAATGCTTATAATCTTTTTTACAGCATGTGCTACAGAAGTAAGTTTGCTAGCTAGTTTATATATATGGGAGCCCCGTTGAAGCTTTGCAGTTTTAGACTTTTATAGGCTGTAATGGATAAATGGATGGAAGGATTTTGACAATGTTCACGACAAGAGTTCACTCAATGGGTCAAATAATTAACCTTTTTTTAAAAATCTAGAGAATATAACATCTATTTTTGAAACAGAAACAGAAACTTATTAATTCAATGTAGATTATAAATGTAATACATATTGAAAGTTACTCTTATGTTTAATGACCACTGGTTTGGAAAAAAACCTCCATTCTAGCAAGAACTATCAACAAACCCGAGGGACTTTTACAGCGGTATTCATGAAACTAAAACCACAGAACGTTTTAAAACTGTGTACTTAATTATGACTATAGAAGGTGTGTGTATCACAAAGAAACAATCATAAATATACATATTAAAATACCTTAACATGCCGACTATCATCATATAAACATCAGATAAACAATCCTCCTTCCAGAACATTAGAGTAAAAACAAAAGTTGATATTTTTTTTAAATTAAGTAACATTGAATTCTGTAAAACGTAAAAAGGACTGGATAAGTAATCAGGAAAGTAAAACCACAGAACAAATACCGTACTAAATAATACTACGGCTACTGCTGCTACTAAAATTAATCTATACAGCAAAGTCACAGAAAATATGTCTCATCTATAAAAAAGTTTAAAATTTTTCTTAACCAAATTGTTAAGTAAACTACTGAAGAGTACTTGATTGCTAACAACCCCTGGGAATGACGTGTTCGCTACTATGCTGTTTCTATTATATTATTTATTTAACATATTTTATACAAATAAATAAAATTGTTGTGTCTGTTTGTAATGCCAAAATAACAGTTTTGTACGAAATGCGAATGAAAGTATGTATATATGCTACTTATAACAAAAACACAATTTTTTAATTTTTGTCTGCCTGTTCGTTTGTTCTGGCTAATCTCCAAAATGGCTGAACCGCGTTTGACGGGACTTTCACTATCAGATAGCTGATTTTATAAGGAGTATCATAGGCTCCTTTTATTTTAGAAAAAGAATTAGGATTCCACACAAAAAAATGAAACCCGTGAAATCCAATCGTAATAAATTACACACGGCCGCAGTTGCGGGGAACTGCTACATGTTGTAACATAATATTTTAATATAATATAATTTATTAATAATTTTGTTTGTGTATTTATAGTATTATTCTATTGAGATGCTATTTTCTAATACTCAAAATGACTACAGTCAAGTCTGGCAACTTTACCCATGGAAGTTAACTTTGCCATCAAGGGGTACTCGTAAAAATTACGATTAACACGGAAAACGTAACGTTTTTCGAGATATGCCATTTTTAAGATGAAAATACAATAACTAATTAACAGCATTGCTTTCGATATGGCAACATGAAAGCTAATTTTGGCATTTTATTGTAACGCGGAATTGTGCCGGCTATATAACCTCTTTGTTAAGTGCTCCAGAACTTCAATTTTTTAATGGTTATCAAAATGTAATATATCTTTTTTGACATGTTGGTCTTCACATTTATCTATAAAACTAACTTTGCAAAGTAACCATACTAGTGATGCCACAATGTGACTGTTACTTTGCCATGTTTTGCTACA